ATGCCCGACAGCATCCTGGGCTTCTCCTTGGACCACCCTCCCCAGCCCCACTATCATCTCACCCACCAAACGCTGCCCCCCATAAGGGATTTACAGGCGGGATGGAAGAGGTTTAGGAGTTCAAAGATAAAGCACGCCTCACCTCCCGGCACAGCCCCCCGCAGCCTGCTGACACCGCTCCAGCCCAGCTTCATTATCAGAGGAAATAACAACCGCACATGGCTGGGGGCAGAGAATGCCCCCTCCAAAGTCTGCAGCTGAAACCAGCTTAAATGGACCGTGGAGACTTGGGGAAAATAATTTCAGGAAGAGGGGAGGAGGGGGGGTAAAAATAACCCGGCCAGTTCCCCATGTTGCTAAATATAGAGCGGGCTGTGTCAGTTTTAATAGGATGGTCATAATTGCTCCCGCTGCTTTGCCGGGCTGAGTGTGGCCTAATTGCTGGCCCACAGCAATCACAAGTGTTAACACGGGGCAGTTGCGGGTGAGCGGTGCCTCCAGCCAGGCCCGCACAGCGGCCATGGGGAAATTGCCCTGGCGCAGGCGATTAGAGGTGTTAATAAGATGGCTTAAGGGGCCCAGGAGCAGCGCTGCAGCAGCCCAAGCATTTTTTTCCTCCTGCTGCTTGGAACAACAGCGCTGAACAGGAACAGAACCGGATCCAGCAAAACATCCTATTTTAGGCCAGCCTGATCGTTTTCCAGCTGAGGCCGTCACGGAGGCTTAAGTCACCTGGTGCTTTTTCAAGCTCACATCCACTCCAGACCAGAGCCTTTGCAGTGCAGATTTTAAAGCAGAGGATGCTTATTTATTGTGAAATGGAGTTTCCTTGTGGTAGGAAGGCAGGGGAGAAGCTTACCAGCATCTCTATATGGCCAGAAGGTTGTGGAGAGACTGGGCTGACCTATGTGGATGTCCCCATAACCAGGGGTCTCTGGGCAGCTCTGCCCTCCCTTCTGTGCCCCCAATGCTTCCTGCACTGCTGGAGCTGCCTGGGTGTGCTCAGGAAATGCTGGATGAAGGTGAGATATGCTGAGATGTGCTGAGGGCCCTTCCCTCTGCCGCCAGGTCCCCAAGAGCCATCACCACCGCTCTCCGTGCTCCCATACTGGAGGCGATGGACCAGTGAAGGAGGTCACGCAGCTGTTTTGGTGCCGGCAGAAGCATCGCTCTCCCGACCATCCCTGCAGCCCGAGAGGCAGCTCGTGTCAGCCTGCTCGTGTCAGCCTGAGCTGGGAATTCAGCAGCAGCCATCACTGGTGACAGAAACGAGGATGAGCAGCTTCTGCGAGCGATTGCACTCAGATGGGGGACTCTGCTCCAGAAGCCCAAGTCCTGTGCTCATTTCCCAGGGCTCGGCTGTGGACCACAGCACTCCCAGACCTGAGCTGGTCAAACTGGAGATTGCAAATCGCTTGGCACTGGGGAAGCGCTTGGATTTGCAGCTGCTGGGCTGTAAGCACCGCAGCTCTCCCGCAGCACTGGGAATGGCAGCCTCCAGCTGGGAGCACTGGTCTGCCCCTCCTGCCAGCCCAAGCAGCACGGGGCTGGCAGCTCCAGTGCGCTCCACTGAGCATCTCCACACATGGCCAGGATGGAGACAAGCCTCTGGCTGCTAGCGTGGCAATGAAAACAGATCCAGGCACAGGGGCAACAAAATCTGCCTCCCTGGTGGGGCCAAGTCAGCCACCCCTCATCAGACCCGCAGGCACCTTCCCCTACCCAAAAAGCAGCAAAGCAGCCTCATCCCTCTGTTCTCAGTGATCCTGAGCCCCCCACGGGAAGGTGGTCAAGGCACGGGTAGCCCACCCAGCAGCTGCCTCATGCAGTAAGGGCTTGTTTGCTGTTTGAAAAGACCCTGATTTTCCTGCTGTGACAGTAGCTTGGGGGTATTTCACTGCTAGGAAACAAATGCAGAGTCTGTGGTGGTGAACCCAAGCAGAGGAACACTTGTCCACTTCTCTTAATAAAGGTGTCTAATCTGCAAGAATAAGCATGCACTCAGTGTCCTGTTGCTCTGAGCTTGTTTAATATTAAAAGTCATGGAGCGGGGTGGGGTTAACACCAGCTAAAACCACCATTAAACACAGCCAGATCATTTTTCCCCCATTCAGAGAATAGCACAAACTGTAAGAGGTCATCCCTCCTCGCTCTGCAACCAGCAGTCATCCACTGCCTGCTCCATTGCACGTCACCCTGAAAACCCCTGGAGGTGCAGCTCCGGACATGGGAACCCGCTTTGGTTTCCAGACCGAATGTGCTCCCTCGAAGCCACATTTAAGGCTCATTTTTCCCCAGCAGCAGAGACTCTTGGGAAGAGGAGCGGGGGTTTTGGAGTGGGAGAAGGCGAGGTTTTTGCAGTTACTTCAGTGAAGAGAGGAGGTGGCTGAGCTGTAAGGAAACGCCGTTCTCGTTTGCACTTCAAATCGTTTCATCTCAGTGGTGCTCTCGCCTCTGGGCTGGTTCCCCCATCCCTCTCCCGGCCATCAGCGGGCCGTGGCAAAGCCGATGCGGTTGTTGCGCCGGTCGAATTTGGTGTAGTAGTGCCCGATGAAGCTGGCGCCCAGGATCCAGATGGGTCCAGCCGGGGGTGGGATGTCCAGCCCTGAGAACGCCACCACGCAGACGTCCTCCCCGTACTGGGATTGCTGCAAAGAGGACACACGTGTGGTTGTGGAGATGCTGGGAGGGAGAAGTCCACTGCAGGGTGCTCCAGAAAGGGCTGCGATCCCCAAATTGACACCTCCTGCTCTGCCTCAACGTTCCTCCCTCCAGCAAGGAGGATCCCTGCCTGTCTCTGCTCTTTGCTGCTCACCCCAAATCTCCCCAAAACCACCCAAGGAAGCAGCGACACGTTGGTCTGGCTCATCTGGACACCTCTGCCCAACAGGAGGGTCAAGAAGCATCACTCTGGTGCTCATCTCAGCAGCTTTAGGGGAGCCAGGAGGGTGCAGGATGCTGCAGGAGAGCTGCACCCCAAGATGCACAGCTCTGCCCCACAGACACCCCAGGCCTGGGGGGATCCACCACATGGAGGGGTGCAGCTTACCCGGAGGATGTAGGCAGAGCCGCTGAGTGTGTAAACCTTCCCACCCAGGTGGAAGGAGATGTTGGGCAGCTGAGGGACCTGGTCACAGTCCACCAGGTACTGCGGGAGGAGGAGACAGCGCTGAGCCCCTGTGCTGGGGCAGGGAGGGGCTGGGGTGCAGGCAGCGAGGGGACAGGCAATAGGGACATGGAGCAGGGCAGAGGGGGCTGCTCACCTCTCCCTCGGCCGTTTCTGTGGCCCCGATGGCTTTCATCAGCACAGAGATGGGGCCGGCTGGGCCAGTGATGAAGGATGCTCCTGTGTCAATGGCCACCGAGCAGCCTTCCTTGCAGAACAGGATCTCAGCCCCTACGGACACTCTGGAGCAGGAGAGGACAGGGGTGATCCCATCTCTCTAGAGTACAGCATCCCCAGGGGCACCAGGAGCCCTCCCTTCGAGCTTCTCCAATGTGAAAGCTAAGCTTTGTAATGTGTGGATTTCGGTTTGGTTTTTTTTACACTGAACAAAGCGGAATTGTTTCAGTGCCTCACTCGCACTCCTGCAGGACTAAAGGGGGTTAAAACTCTTCCGCTGCAGCTTCCAAGTTGAACCAGCCCACGGTGCCTCCCCCTCCGCATTCCCCAGCCTTGCCGAGCATCCTCACTCTGTGCTGGAGGAACCAACCCGGGCGGTGGAAAAGCATCCCCAGCATCCCCGAGCAAACACACGCCCCCGTGAAGCTCCTTCCCCAGCACCCAGGAGCGTTCCCCTCGCCTCCATGGGGAGATCTGAGGGATGAGGCACCCCCCCAGCCTCACCCCTTCATGCTGATCTGCCAGTAGCCGCTCTTGCTGATGTTCAAGTAGTGGAAATCTCCGGTGTAGTAGGCTGGGTCGCTGCCTCCGAGGATTATTTCCCCCCCTGGTTTCAGAGGGGAGTTCCTAAGGTGCAAAACACAGCGGAGTGATTCCCCCTCGGCTGCTGTTCCCGGTAAAACGGGGAGAAGGGACCAGCCCCAGCGCAAGGCTTTGCAGCAATGGGAGAGCAAAGGCGCGCAGAGAAGACCCCGAGTTAGTTCAGAGAGGTGCGAGAGCCCGCAGGAGAGGGGGTGCCACATGCTGAGGTCCCCGAGCAGGTCGGGGGCAGAGCCTGGAGTGGGGATGCTGCAGGGGTGAGCTCCTATGGACCAGTGCCCGGCCCCATGGGTGACTGTTAGTGGGTGCTGTCCCGATCGTGCCTTTCATCTTCTTACTTCGAGGCGCTGCAAAGAGAGGGGTGCTCTGTAAGTCTGGCGACCAAGGGCAGCTGTGTCCCCAGGGTGCCAAGGGGACCCAAGCGGCACCCACGCAAGGCTGCAGTTGCAGCCAGCATTGTTATGCTTTTCTCGTTACTGGTGGATCCACCTTTATTTGCGGTAAAGAGCTACCGTGCCTGCTTTAAGCATGCATTTGTGGGGCTGTTTGTCACTGCACATTGCCAGGCTGCTGTACCCAGGGCTGGGGGTCAGTGCTGGGGAGGGGGCAGCACCCCTGCTCTGCCAGGATGGGTCCCCCCACTGCACCTGAGGGTCTTGGTGCTGCTGGGCACAGCAGCTTGGGGCAAGAAAGGAAAGGAAGCTTGGCTGCTGGTGCAGGTTTTTCTTCAATAGATCTCTTTTCTTTTAATTTTGCCTGCAGGTGAAACACTAAACCCGTTCCCGGCTGGGATTGCTCCAGCAGAGCTGGTGACTTTGTGCAACCCGGCAGTGACAAACGAGCAGGGAGCAGCCGCTCCCAGCCCCGCCACTCCCTGCCCAGCAGCTCCAGATAAGAACCCACCGGCTCTGCCTCCTGCGCCGCCTCAACCCACCCCAGCTCCTCCAGGCACCCTCCGCATGCCCGTGCTCTCCACCCCACCACAGGTCCTACAGCCTCAGCCTTGGCTCTTCCCCAGTCCCAAAATGCAAACCCAGCACTGTTGCAAATGCAATGCCCATACCCTGCAAAACCCAGCCCCACTGCCTGCTCCCCACAGGACCCACCGGCTGTAGTAGACGGAAAACACATCCTCCTTGAGGATCTGCTGGGAGAGGATGTGGTCGAAGACGGGGGTGATGCCGTCGATGGCCTGGCTGGGGTAGCCCATCCCCAGCACCCCATCAAACCTGGCGAAGATGAAGGGGAAGGCGGGCAGCGCCGTCGCCTCCGCAAAGACCTGGATGATGGGGATGTCTGATACCTGCGGAAGGGCACGAGGGTCCTTGCAGGGGGCTGGGGGGCTACATCCCCACCAGGCTCCCTACTCTCGGGTATACAGGGGTGCTCATATGAGGGAGCAAAGCCACACGTGGGCATTTCCTTGCCGAGCCAGGGGATCTGTGAATTTGGGGCACTTGCTCACCATGACGATGTCCTGGCTGAGGACGCCTTTGAGGCTGCCCGTCCCATAGTGGATAGCGAAGTCCGTGCCATTGGCGATGTACGTCCGTGACTTGGCAGAGTCATAGCGGCTGTGGGAAACTGGGGAGAGGGAGAGGGCAGGGGTTTACCAAAGGAAGCGAGGGGGGGCAGCCACGGCAGGACCGGATGAGGGTCTCTGTGCCCCAAACCTCTGTGGGAGGATGAACCCACCCGGCCCCAGTGCCAGGGAATGGACAGCAATGGACAACCCCCCCCCGTGCAAAGGTAAACCCACCCCAGCCCTCAAGACTTGCCCACGTTTGCTGTGATGAAGCTGGAGCTGATGCTGGAGGGGGTCAGTCCCAGCCTCAGGTCCAGCTGTGCCCCCCCTGTACTCACCGCAGGCGCTGTAGAGGGGGGAGCACTTGTAGGACGGCACCCACAGGTTGGCCGAGCCTGTGTCAAAGACCACCTTGAAGGTCTGCGCGGGGGTGCCGATGCTGATCTCGCCGAAATACTGGGTCTGGAAGAGGCACGGCAGGGGGAGCCTGCCTCGGGGGG